TTTTCACATTTTTAACAAAATGGGTACCATATGTATCAATGAGATTTTTATAATCTGCTTTAGTTTTTTGGTTGTACTCTTTAGGCAGGTGGTTAATGGACACCAGAAAATCTTTGTGAAGTGGGGGCTTAGTTGCTACATTGTACCTGGGAAAGGCAGGGGTGACATAAAACAATAATGAGGGGGAAAAAAGAGAAAAAGACACAAAGGTTTCAATATGTAGGTCAATGTCTATTTTCATTTTTGCCTAAGAAATTGATGGACAATGTTGTACATGCTTTTGTTGAAAAATCTTTTTGAGCCTGTTAAGTAATAATCTTTTACCTTTTGTATTATCTTCTGCTCTGTTAAATGTAGTTAGAGTTTGTTAATGTTTTGTATGTCATCTTAAAAACTGCGTCTCACCTGTACAAGTTGCAGTGGACCTGATGTTTGGTGAAGCTGTACTTGTCTTCCTTTGATTTCTTCATGGCAAACATTGCGTCGCGTGAGTGGGTACCTCCCAAGCCCACCCCAACCTTCACATTAGGGTTGACTGGAATATCTAGGCCTACTTTCCAGTTGTTTGTCACACTGGATGTGCTGTCATTGGCAACAGCTTCACTGGATTCATAGACAGTGCTGGAGACCTTCATATCACATTTGGAGAGGGCTCTCCAATCCACCACAGCTAATGGAATCTTCTGCTGAATTTCACCCAAGTAAGGGTTTCGTGCAAGTTGACAGGTGCCGTTTGCATTTCTCCACTGCTCAGCATCGATCACATATGCACCTTTGCGCTCCATCTTCACAATGTCAAAGCCTTCTCCTCCCAGGTTGTAGCCAGGGACAAAGGGAGCCTTTTCACACTCTTGTGGGGTTCCAATGACCACGGCTCCTAAGATGCCAGGAGACTGGAGGTGACATAACCAGCCCAGGACAAGGAGTCTCCACAGTCCCTCCATCAGTGGTGATTCAGGTCTGATTCCCTAGAAAAGTTAACAAAACATGTACTTTAGACCAGTGCTCCTCAGCCTTTCTGCATTTTACAAATACAATAACCGGTGTATGTATGTATGTATGTATGTATGTATGTATGTATGTATTCATGTATGTATGTGTTTGTGTGTGTGTGGGGGGGTGCAACTCTGAGGCAGTCAAAATCCAATACACATGCATGCATGACCTCAAGTTATTATTAGAAATTCCAATTCCAATTTGTTATGCAGGCTACTAATGCTCACCCATTGCCAGACATCCCACCTCAGGCAT